TTTTTTTTTTTTTTTTTTTTTTTTTTTTTTTTTTTTTTTTTTTTTTTTTTTTTATTGTTGAAAGTTGATCCATTTAGTTTGAAGTAGCGGTTATTTCGCAAAAGCAATTGTTGTAGTTTACTAACAACTCATGTCGAAGAATAATTGTTTTCACGTTAATATGATCATTGAAAGTATGTCCTGGCTACCTACTATCACGTTCTCGTAGTTTCAATTAGAAAAAGATTCAATCAATAGAAACTTAATTTTAGACATTTAGATAAACTATCCTAAAAATAATTGAGTAACAAAAAAAAAAAAAATAATAATTTAAAACCTAAAATAAAAGTATTAAAAAGTCTAGGAACTAAGATATAAATATAAGATAAAGTCTAAATGTTGTTAGATTAAATTGAGGTTAGAAGAAAAATATTATGACGTCAAAATAAACGCAATATTGTTGACGTCATGTTACTATTGCTAGTCATATCTGAGCTGGCGATAAAGAACGTGGAAGACAAGGCGAAGGCCCTATCTCAATCAATTATTAAAAAAAAAAAAAAAAAAAAAAAAAACCAANTTTTTTTTTTTTAATCAATCATCTTATTTCTTTCTTCGTTGAGATTTTCTACATTTAAGACAAAATAAATTAGGTACGGCATCTCGATAGAGATGTCCATGAGGCCACCCCTATTTCGATCTCTGTGAAATTCTCTATTTATTTGTCTCGAGAATGAAGCTGAAATTTTAATAAATTTGTGGGAATCTGAATTCTGAATTCCTGTGGTATATAGATAAATATTTAAAAAACTATTTTTTTAAAAAAATTAGGAGTAATTTTCTTATTTTCAAATATAATTTCTATTAAAAATGAAAAATATGATAATAAATATAGTAATATTTTAAAATAAAATAATTTCTAAAAATTTAAATTTGAATAATAAAATTAAACATTTAAAAATATATATATATATATAATTAAATAATTTGTATTTGTGTGCCAACTTGATTAATTTAAGTTAAATAAGTTTATATTTGAAGTCGAAAATTGTTTCACATGGAGTTTTGAAACTTGCGTTTATACTTTCTAATTTTTATACGTCCAGTGATTAGACATCGTTTTTTCATATTGAAAACGTGTGTTCGATTCCTATAAGTGATAGGCATAATCGGTTTCTTACCTTTCGTTTTGACTCGTTTTAACTCGAGCATTCGAGACACGTTGTTTACACTGAAGAATAACGAACAAGAATAGAGAAGGAGATTAGGTAATTTCAAAAGGAAAAAAAGAAACTCTTCCTTATCCGTTTAAACCAAGGTAGTCTAGAATGAGTCTCCTACATTTCTTTCTTAGCCGAACCTAACCTTTAATGAATTTTGAAAGCCATCGTCGGTGCACTTTTTTTTTTATTAATAGAGTTATATTAAATAAAATTAAAAATTTGAATAATGAATATTTATTTAGAAAAAGTTTTTTTCCATTTTTTTTCACCTATTATTTTTTTTTGGACTTATTCTAATAAAAAAAAATCCATGTTTTTAATTATTTTTATAAATTTCAAAATATACCATTTATTAAAAATAATTATTTTACATATTTTAGAAAATAAACAAAGACTATTAATATATCAATATGAGCATAGTTCAACCATATTTATTGTACTAAAGAAAGACGACATCTTTTTATAATATATTTTTTATAATTATTTAAATGATTATTAACATTAAAAAGTTGGATAAATGATTGGGATCAATTATAGACTTCATTTTATGGTCAATTTAAAAGATCATTTTCATCATTTTTGTTTTTATTTTATTACTTCTAATAAATTATTATTTCACACCTTATCATTTGACTTCACATTTCAAATGGAGTGGAAAATGGGCGAGAAAATTAGGAGATTTTTTTTATTTAATAAATGAGGACAGGGATGAACAATGCATTCTCCATCTTTTATTATTATTATTATTATTATTATTATTATTATTATTATTTTAATATATAGTTTTAAATTTTTTTAGATTTTTTTTTGTAATATTTATTTTTTTTTTATAATTTGTGTGACTTTAGATTTCAAACTTGATCATGTTATGAAAATTAAAAATATTTAATGTTTATTATTGACGTTAGTGATTCATTATAATTTGTAAATAAAGATAATTTAAAAAAAAAATTAATAATCCACCGACCCAACCTAAAAATAAAGAGTTGGGTCGGGTTTTATTACAAACCTTATTCGAATCATTCCAAGTCACCGATACAATTAATTTGAAATAAATTCTATCTCAACCTAACTTGACTCGTGTAATGACACTCGTAGAACTTCTACGCAAAATTAAAAATGTGGCAATCTTTCCCTGCAGACATGCATGTGATACAAGAAGTCAAATTTCTGTTCTTCAAGAGGATTCTCTCTCTTACATGCAGACCCATCAATAACTATCCATTCATTTTTACTTCATACGCATCATGTTTGATTCAGTTCGTTTATGTACTCTTCCTTTACTCTATTGAAAAAGAGAAATGTACGATTAATTCGTAAATCGCATCATTTTTTAAAAATTTTCGTTGAAAACAAATATGAAAATAAGGGCCTCCATTCAGAAAATTTGTGAAAAATGCCGCCTGATTCGTAGGCGGAGACGAATTATGGTAATTTGTTCCAATCCGAGACATAAATAATGTGAAAAATGCAACTTTTTTCTGTCAGTATAGCTTATTTCGGAATATTTATAGCGTCTTTCTTCTATAAGCCCGCTAAATCCCACTTAGGGAGATTTGATTCATTCTGAATTCTTTAATTCGGAATGAAAGGGTTCACTTTGACCGTTAAGAGTAGGTAACTCGTTCTGTTCCCTGTGTCTTTGTTTCTATTGCATTCTACCATGGGAAGGTTACAATTCTGAAGATGCGGTACTAATTAGCGAGCGTCTGGTATATGAAGATATTTATACTTCTTTCCCCATCGAGAAATAGAACTGACTAATCCTAAGGCAAAGGGGCGAGAAACTCAACGGCACTATTCTTGAACAACTTGGAATTGGGCCTTCCTTCTTTTCGCACTATTACAGATATGAAAATGAAAATAATGGGCAAAATTGGATTCAATTGTCAACTGCTCCGGGGTTTGAAACCAAACTTCTCCTCAGGAGGATAGATGGGTCGATTCAGGTGAGATCCAATGTAGATCCAACTTTCTATTCACGCGTGGGATCCGGGCGGTCCGGGGGGACCACCTCGGCTCCTCTCTTCTCGAGAATCCATACATCGTAGTGGCTCCGTTCCATGCCTCATTTCATAGAGAACCTCAAAGTGAACCGGTAATACGAGGATTTTGAGTCCTCTGCTCTACTAATTGAGCGATACCGACCATTTCTGACACATTATCTTTATTTATTTTCATAGCAGATTTGAATCGGTAACAGGAAGATTTTGAGTCATCTGCTCTACTCGAAAAAGCGATTCGATTGATGGGATTGAGATTGATATTCCAATCTTTCTTCTTCG